GCGGCGCACTTGCCCCGAGGGTCTGTGGCGTCGCAGGCGTCGCGGGAGCACTGGTCATGAGGACCCTGTGGATGGTGCTTTGCGCGCTGGCGCGCCTGTGGCCTGGAACCCTGGCCGGCTGTGCCGAGGCTGGGCGCTGCTGCCCGGGCCGGGACCCTGCCTGCTTCGTCCGGGGCTGGAGGCTGGACAGGGTCTACGGGACATGCTTCTGCGACCAAGCCTGCCGCCTCACCGGGGACTGCTGCTTTGACTACGACAGGGCGTGCCCAGGTGGGTGGCCGGCAAAGGGTGGGGCACCGGAAAGGCCACTGAGCCCGGGCTGCAGCCCCTGAGCCAGGCGTTCCGCAGGTCCCCACTACACATCCAGGTGCACCTAGCTCCATCCATCCTAGGGTCTCCCAGTCCTCTCCATCCAGCTGAACCCTTGACTCCATCAGGCTCTCCCGACCTCTCCATTCAGGAGTCTCCCAGTGCTTCTATGTAGACAGCCATTTCCAGGCCCCGCTCCCCAGCAGAGCTGGATAGAAGGGCTGGAACCTTGTTCTGAAGGCCATGGGCCACTTCTCCCACTCAAGAACTCCAACAGGGTAGGGCCACCTCCCGCCTGGGGAGATGGCACCGCCAGGTTCCATGGCACGCCCCTGGGCCAGGCTCCAGCAGTCATTCTGTTATTTCTCAGGGACTCTGAGGGGCTGGTGGGCGGTCACAAGGGCACAGATGAGTAAGGATCCCACCCTGTGCCGGGGAGGGCAAGTTCTTGGGAGGACTGAAGTCCCCCCTCAGCTCTGGACGGATCTCCCCCACCTCGTAGGAGGTGTTCAGTATATTTTTGGAACTCGATTTTATCAATGTAGCATATAAAGATTTTTTATCTCAAGGTCCCTACTATGTTTTCATCTTCCTGGTTTTCCTTTGGGGTCCGTATTTTTCACCTTTGAATTTCTCACAGAGTCTCATGATCCTTTGCCCTTGCAAGGGGCTCAGCAAAGTGTTGTTCTAATTGAATTCAAAGATAAAGAAAGAAACGGTGAGTGTCACCATCCTGAAGAGCAAGGCGTGACAGCAAAGTGTTGTTTTAATTGAATTCAAAGATAAAGAAACTGTGAGTGTCACCATCCTGAAGAGCAAGGCGTGCCTAAGAGAAACCAGCTCCGAATAAAAGTAGCCTTGCTGTCTGTTAATCACGCCACTCCAAAGGCACTACGTCCTGAGGAACTTCAAAGTTAAAAAGAAGTTCACGATGGGCTGACTCTATGGCCTGGTGGTTGGGGCAGCTAGATCCCACATGGCTGGCTATGCAGTTTGAATCCTGGACCTGGCTGCTTGAAAAATATACCAAGTACACATGTGTGTGCCCCAAATTCTGAACACAGGGAGAGATGAAGGTGAAGGCATTCATGATCGTTTTCCATGGGGAGTGCTAACTTTCTTTCTCTCTGTCTCTGTGTCTCTCTCTGATGAGTATATGTGCCCTCTAGAAACAATAAATTAGTAGAAATAGAATTAAAGTGCAAGCTTATTTTAGTGCAAATATATTGAAATCCATGCAGTTTTTTGTATTTTTTGGGGGGAGAGGTTTTTTTTTGTTTTTTTTTGTTTTTTTTTTTTTTGCTATAGGGCATGTGCGCTCGCCAGAAAGACAGAGACAGAGAGACAGAAAGCGAGAAATCACCCCCCAGGGAGGATGGCCACGCCGCAGTCCCTTCTCCTCCATTCTCCTCTCGGGATCTTGGGCATGCACACACATGTGCCCAACGTGAGTTTAAGCCACCGGGTCCAGGACTTAAACTGCAGTCGACTACATGAGAGTTCAGCGACATAGCCATTACGCTAACTGCTGGTCCCTGCAATTTTTTCATAGTATGTGTTTTCATGAACTTTTGAAGACCCCTCATATGTTAGCCGTTGAGCCCAAGATCCCAGCATGTGGGATTCTCAGCATCTTCTAGGGAGAACTCCCAGGGCTCTGTGATTCCGGAGCCTACCTGGTGCCCAATGGAGAGAAACACTCCTGCCTCTGCTGCTTGAAGAAGCCACTGGCCCATGGCCTGTCCACCCAGGCCTGATGCTGAAAGAACACAGTTGATTGAAAAACAAGATATTTTTTGGCCCTGGTTGAAAGCTAATGATTTACCTATGAATAGTGCTATTCTTTTTGATAAGCCTCTTTCC